ACGTCCTCGACTTCGTCAACTTCGACACCACATAGTTTGGCAGTTTCGGCTTGTGCCGACTTCGCTTCCCAATCCTTTCCAACCAGCGAGAAAGCAGGTACGTCGTTCGTTGCTTCTTCCGACAACGGTGTTGCCTTGGCTGCCATAGCCGACAGGGTAGGATTCAGCATTATGTCTGGAACGTGTAGCAACAACCCAGCTTCTCTCGCAAGAGGAACCAGCCTCATCGCTCGGAGCGAGTCTCCGCCCATACTGAAGAAGTTGTCGTTGGCACTGAAGTCCGCTTCTCCTCCGAGAAGCTTCGCCCATAAGGAACGGAGCTTGAGCTCCGTCTCGGTGGTAGGCTCTTGCTTCTCAGATATCACTGAGTTGAAGCGCCTGAGATCTTGGCGTGTGACGGAGGTACCGATCTCGCGAAGTCGCTTCCGGTCTGTCTTGCACGACACTAGTAGTGGCATCTTCCAGAGCGGGATGTAGGCGCTTGGCACCATGTAGCCGGGGAGGTCGATAGCGAGTTGCTTGGTCATGGCTTTGAGAGCTGACTGGAACTTGGTGGTGAAGCTTCCAAACACGTTTCCATCCAGATGTCGCATGCCGTTCTTCTTCTGCTCGACGAGGAAAGCAACGAGCGTCTGTTCACCACCTCCGCTGGGCTTGATGACTTCGACAGCGAGTTGAGTGTCCGCGGGGAGATGCTTCTGCATGTTGAACTCAATCTCAGCTAGCTCGATGCGCTGGCCTCGAAGCTTGACTTGCTGATCTTGTCGTCCAACGAAGATGGGCTCACCGTTGCCATCAGGGTCGAAACGTACTAGATCACCGGTCTTGTAGATGCGACCATGTCGGCCCGGGTAGCTCTTGCTACCTTTGAGCAAGAACTCTGGGTCTTCGATGAACACCTCCTTCGTTTTTGACGGGTTGTTGAGGTACCCGTCGCCAACGATGGGGCCTTCGATGAGCAGTTCACCGACCGCACCCACAGGCACGAGCTTGTCGTGGTCTTCAGGCTCGGTCAGCCAAATGGCGCATCCCTTGCGCTTGCCCATAGTAATGTATGGCTTAGCGGCCACGTTGTCGTTGATGGTCGCACCAACAGTGGCTTCTGATGGTCCATAGGCGTTGACGACCCTGGTTCTTTGACCCCACGACATCGCATCGCTGGTCGATACTCCTTCGCCACCTAGCGCGATGGAATCCAAGTGGTCAAGGATGTCTACATCAAGCGTACGAGCAACTGACGGAGTCATGCCGGCGAATGTCACGCGCATGTCGCGCATCGCGCCACTCATATCGTTCATACGACGCTCATCGGAGGGTGTGCAAAGCGTGGCGCCGTGAGCGAGAGTGCAGAGCATCGAGTCAATGCACACGTCAAAGGCATAACTCGCAAAATCCAGCACGCGAGAATGCGATCGATAGCCCACAGCGTCAGCGCGCGGTATCGCACCAGACGTGTACTGACTGTGCGTAATGATGCATCCCTTCGGAAGACCCGTACTTCCACTGGTAAACTGGATGTACAACGGCTGGTCGGGTGATACTGGTGCGAGAGTGGTCTTGGGTTGCTGCGCAGCAGCTGGAGAGTACACCTTGTCGAACTTGGATGCGGAGATGGGGATGATAGTCGCCGATGGGGCGACACGCGCAGCTAGTGTAGACTGAGCTTTCGATGAGATGAAGAGCTTCGCGCTGACTTGCTGCACTACTGCTCGTAGGCGGCCCTCTGGTTGTGCTGGGTCAAGGAGCGCGAAGCATGCGCCGGCCTTCATGACAGCCAACACTGCAACTGAAGTCCATCGCGACTTCTCAAAAAGTACCGGAATGATCTGACGTGGCGAGTCGTCCAGCAGTTGCAGGGTCTGCGCCAAATCGGTAGAATAATCTTCGACTTGACGATATGTCAAAGTGCCATCCCAGGCCTCGATGGCGATCTTCTCCGGATTGAGCGCCGCCTGCTCCGAAACCTTCTCATGCATGCAGAACCTCAACTCTGGCTGTAAGGGATAGTTCCAACTCCAGAGCTCATCGAGTTCCTCGTCGGTAACAGGCATGAAGGAAGAGAGGGTGTGATCAGGGTTGCTGAATAGGGTATCAAGAATCGAAGCAAAGAAATGAAGTTGCGAAACGGCTTGGTGGCGAGACATGGTCGTCGTCTGCCATCTTGAACTGGCATGAAGAGAGCCTCCCTCCCTTCTGAATGATACTTCAAAAGTCCACTGGGTCATGTCAGTCGTGTTAGGGAAATGGTTGGGCTGGTTAATACCTCATGTAATGATCCATCGTTGAGGAAAAGAGTAGCATTGTGCGCATCATAGTCCTTTGACCGCACATTGCTGATCTGCGACTTCAAACTCCCGGCTGTTTGGTGGCTGGCGAAGTTGATATCGATTGTGTTGATGGATTGCGAAGCCCGATCACGGCCATCGACCGCGCCCCAAGTGAATTGATGGAAGACATCTCTCTGGCATCGGTGTATGAGTACCGACCATGCAGCCAGAACAGTATCCACAACAGCATCTGAGGTGAAGTCGCTGGGTATTAGTGCCCGAATCTCGTTGGCTTTCGAGCTGTGGCCGTTCGCATGCAGAACGTCATGGTCGCCATTCTGGGTTGCGGCCTGCTTGTGCGTCTTCGAGGCGCCATTGCTTTGCACCTTCTTCGCAACATGCTCCTCTGGAGCACCGCCGAAGTTTGATACATGCTCGCCGTTGCGAAGATGCATCTTGTCGCCGCTCAAACTGCTATGTGGTCTCTTCATGGCGAGGTTGGTATATATTTTTGGAGAAAGATGTGGAGCTGAGGAAGACGTGTATGTTTCCGAGTCCGATGAAGACCCCGGATACTTCTGTAGCAATAGCCAAGCAGTGCAAAGCCGCGAGTCCACCAAGTTCACCCACGATCTTCCGTCTCTCTCACAAACTAACCTCTCCACACATCGCGCCAGGATGAATCTCCGGCACGAGCACACCAGACCGCTTCAAGTGACCCATCATCCTCGGTCGGACAGCCGTCGGCGTCATAGTTTTCTCTTACGACGCAGAAACAGGGTCCACTATATCGCGCCATTCTGTCTTTCTCGATGCAGGCTGTATTGCGCATCGCCTAACGTAAACACGGAGGCGATGTCACCAATGTGGGATCAGGCGCAGTACCACGATTTAGCCGTAAAGAAAAGCCTCGTCCGCCCCTGCACACCCATCCCCACACTTAGCGGATCAGATAACTCTAGCGTGAAAGGCGGCGTCATGAGGCTTCATCTGATAAATTTGATGATGTGGTATCGATGCAAGCGCGGAATTGCCCGATGGAGTAGGAGTCATGCAGGGTTACGTCTTTGGCGCTGCAGATCTTTTTCCATCTGATAACGGCCGATGTTCGGAGAACTACTCGCGTCCAATTACAGCAGCAATGACCGTTGCTTGCATCGATCGACAGCGTCCACCGGCTTTAAGTGTCGTGCATCATTCGTTAGGGATGTTGCTGGTTCAGTGAGAAGGGCCGGCCTGCAGTATGCACGCCGTACATACGGGATACGGCCATCCCACGCGTGAACGACACGGCAAATTCTCTTGTACGCGCTGATCGCGGCAAGAGGTGGATATGTGCATGGCTATGGTATTTCTCGGATTTGGCGCTCTAGGCGTCATCCGGTTGTACGACGGCACATCCCTCGCCGTGGCCGGGAAGTTTCGCTAAGGACGGATCAGATAACTTTAATCGGCACATGCGAGGGGGAGGCTCAGGCAGAACGGCCGGTACGCCTCAATGGAGAAGGTCTGGTTGTCGTCGGTGGCGTGAGGGTTTTTCGTGTCGTAATGTGGGTCTCGCATTCTAGTTTTGCGCCCTGTAATTTAGCGTTGCGAAGCATGTGGTAGTGTTTCAGTGACAGCCGAGGAATTGGCACAGTTATGGTGCCCGCCCTCCAACTGCTTGGTATCAAAGTATGTTGTATGCGTGACTGACGATCTCTGAACCGCAAGGCTGGGCATCGAGAGTGGATCGTTGAATCCGCGTGGTTAATGGGCGATAATGCTACCAAGTTCATGTCTTTGGGTCGAACAGTCGCTGCAGCTGTCAAACGTTACCAAAACCTTTTGTTTCTAAGTTTACATCTTGACTGGCAGGCGGTCTAGATCCTTCCCCGCTGCTCGATCATCCAAACGACACTATACTAAGTTGACGAATCGTTCAATATGGGCTTCGTAGTCCTCCCCGCTCTTGTGCCAGACATTAGCGCCGTGTACGACGTGCACTTTGCGGCCTTCAAGGACAGCCCGATCACGCGCGCGCTGTTTCCTTCGGCTACCGAGCAAGATTTGACAGATTCAACTTCCGAGTTTCGGTAAGTGCCGGTCATTGAATCGCGTTGACTGTCGGACGTGTGGACTGACTAGGAGAAGAAAGGCTCACACCGGCCATGTCTCGGAGTACTGGAAGACAAGTGCAACGCAATACACCCTGAAATGTGTCGACACCGAAACTAACAAGATCGTTGGGATGGCGCTTTTCGACGTGTACATCGCGCCTAGTGATTGGAAGAGAGGCGAGATTGGATGGCTGGAGGGCAAGGAACGTGAACGGGCCGAGGCACTCGTGAAGCCGCTTTGGGACGCGAGAGAGAAGCTGTGGCTCAATGAGAGATACGTCTACTGCCACGTCATGGCTGTGCACCCGGACTACCAACGGCGGGGCATTGGCGAGTTGCTGTTCAAGTATGAGACCGACATTTGCCGGCAGACTGGGTTGCCCATGTACATAGAGAGCTCCAAGCAAGGCATCAAGCTCTACGAGAAGATGGGAAGCAGAAGATTGAAAGAGAAGCTGGTGCACAAGTCGGAAGACATTACTCCGGAGAAGACCAACGGCGCGAGGGAGGACCAAGAGCTTCCATTGTTCGTCTGGCTGCCGGAAGGCGCAGAAAAGAGACTACCAAAGTCTGTGGAGCTGGCGTGAAAGTGACATGGTGGAAAGCGATATAAAGATACATATTACGAACAAATCTATCCAAGCATCTGGTGAAGAGCGTTAACCCGGTAGCTCTCACTGCGCTGTACCAATTCCTCGTGACGTCCTTGATCCACTACTTTACCTGCTTCGACCAAGAAGATCACATCAGCCCTAGCAATTGTCCTCAGTCGATGCGCGATGGCGATGACGGTCACACCGTGACCCTTGACGGCCCGTTCGAGGCCTTGCTCCAAGGCCTTCTCACTCTCCGCATCTAAGGCGCTCGTACTCTCGTCCAACAGCAGCAACTTGGGCTTACGCACAAGAGCTCGAGCAATGGACAAACGTTGACGCTGGCCGCCAGATAGCTGATTGCCCTTGGAGCCACACTCCGTGTCATAGCCTTGGGGAAGATCGATGATGGTGTCGTGTATGTTCGCCAACTTGCAGGCTTCTTGAATCTCTTCGTCGGATGGTGTGTGTCCAGGTCTTGCTCCTAATCCAATGTTGAACTTGATACTTCCTTGGAAGAGAATGTTCTCTTGGGGTACATAGGCGATTTCATCGCGGAATGACGCGCCATGGTGCCGAGAGATATCGAGGCCGTTGATGGAGATGCTACCGGAGGAGGGAGAGTAGAATCGTTCAAGAAGGGCCAGAACAGTACTCTTACCTGCACCAGATGGTCCGACCAAAGCGCAGAATTGACCGGGCTGGATGGTCAAGGAAAGAGATGTTAAGACCGGCACACCAGGACGTGCTGGATAGGAAAAGCCCACGTCTCGGAAGATAACCCTAGCACCACCTTGCGTGGTAGGTGGTATTGGCGATTCAGCCAGTGCCTCGATATCGTTCTGGTTCTTTTCCGAGAGACTGGGGTCATTGTGGCGATCCGTATCAGGTCCATCCTTGCCCAATTCGATTAGTCCGCAAATGCGCGACATTGCACTCTTGGCCTTCGAGATCTCAGGTGCGAGGGTGAACAGCTGACCCCATAGTTGTGCGGAGACAAGCATGGCGATGAGAATGACGAAGAACTCAGTTTGGGTGTACCTGCCTTCGATGATGTTCTTAGTGCCCCACCAGTAGGCGAAAGCGTAAATGAATGTACCACAAGAGTTGGCGACGGCCAACCAGACGTTGGTCTTGAAGCTCTGCTTCACCATCTCCTTGCGTGGAGCCTTCAGCGATCGTCTGTAAGTTGAAATGATCTCCTCTTCGATAGAGAGTGCATGCACAGTCTTGATGTTAGAGACAGCTTCGATGGTAACACCGATAGAAGAGCTAAAAGCTCCAGCGTGCTTTGCGGCGAATTTACCGATAGCACGCAACTGCATGAAACCGGCGCCCAAGAGAAGTGGTACGACGACGAGGCAGACAATTGCGATTCTCCATGCGAGGATGTGGGAGAGGATGATGGCGGCTATGAAGTTGACAACGACGGAGAAGAGTGTGCCAATGATGGAGCCGCTGAAGCCCGCTAATGATTGGCCATCCTTGGTGATAAATTCGAGGAGCACGGTCGGGCTTCTTGATTCAGACTCGTGCCATTGTAGCGGCTGTTGGAGTAGCGTGTGTAGAGATAGGTTGCGGACCTTGTAGATCAATCGTTCGGACAAGAGACCAAACGACGCCCAACTGGTGAAATTGGCCAGGAAGGCGACACAGGCAAGCATGAACCACATCCCAGAGAGGAGTTCACCTCGAGAACGAACATACTCGGGCGTGTTGCATGGAGACATGGTGCCCATGATGTTACCAAACAGGAGACCCGATCCGCAGTACTGGCCACCTACTACCAGTGCTGCCAAGAAAGCCAGCATTACGAGAAGTAGGTACGGTCGCGTCAAAGGAAGCATTGTCTTCCTGATAGAGCCCGCAATGACGACACCCTTAGTGTGCTCGACAGCTTCCGCGGCATTGGCGTCGTTCGCTGGTACAGCATCGGGCTCCTGCGCACTTAGCGCCAACTTCTCGTTGGTGATAGAATCGGCGTCACGGGAGTCTAGACTGGTTCTTGAGCTGGTCGCACCGTCGTCAGATTTGACGGTTTGGAGGTGAACCATGTCTGCGTATGACCCTTCCAAGTCCATGAGTTGATCGTGGGTTCCTTGTTCGATGATGTCACCCTTCTTCATGACGATGATCTTCGCTGCAGCTCTGATAGTGGACAATCGATGAGCGATCGAGATCACTGTCCGGCCGCGGGAAGCCCGTTCAATAGCAGCTTGAATGCGCTGCTCACTAGCTGAATCTAGGGCAGCGGTGGCTTCGTCGAGGATCAAGATACGAGGATCGCGGACCAGAGCTCGGGCGAGAGCAATACGCTGCTTCTGTCCACCACTGACGAGACTACCACTCGAGCCAACCGAGGTCGCGAACCCGAACTCCAGGCGATCGATAAAGATAGCAACATCGGCGAGGTCCGCAGCATCTTTCACAAGTTGAACGATCTCTACAACTTCAGGACCAGCCTTCTCGGCGACTTGAGTAAGATCCTGGCCGCCCCTGACGTCTTCCGCAACTTGAGCGAGGATTCCGCTCAGCAGCGTTTTCTCGAGATGGGCATGAGGCGGGCTGTTGACGAGACCGAGAGCAATGTTCTCCAAGATGGAGCGATCAAGAAGTGAAGGTTCTTGTTGGACGAGACTGATGAAACCTCGGAGAGACTTGATGTTGATGTCTTTGACATTGCGGCCGTCTAGAAGTACATCGCCAGATTCGGGATCATAGAATCGGCTGATAAGACTGGCGACTGTGGACTTGCCGCTTCCGGAAAGACCCACGATAGCAGTCAGTTTACCTGAGTTAGATGGTCAGCATCTGTAGTTCCATTTCGTTCCATGCAAGTGACGTACCAGCTTCGCATGTCAAGGAGATACCGTTCAGTACGGGATGATCAGGCCTTGAACTATACGTGAACGCGACGTTGCGGAACTCAACAGTCCCATCAACATGAGTAGGCTTCTCCGCGGATGACGAGGTGTTGTCAATGGTTGGTTGAGTCTCGATGTCCTTGCGCAAGCGCTCGAAAGCTGATATAGCCCCGCCAAACAATGGCAACATCGGCGCAATCTGACTGAGAACGATGGCACCTAGTATCGGAAGTTAGCATCGGAAGACTCAAACGATCGGTAAGATACTGACCATCGAGCAGAATGAACGTGACGGTGTAGATCTCTCCGATAGTTGCACTGCCTTTGCCCTCGAGAGAGTCTGCGATCCTGCGACTACCCTGCCAGTAACCTAAGGCGCTGGCCGAGAAGGCGATGAAGTAGAGCAGACCAGCTTGGACCGCAGCGGTCGTGGCCTTCTTGACACCTGCCTCACGAGCATCGCTCAAATGGCCCTCGAACTTTGCCTCTAGCCTGGCATTTGCACCAAGCGCATGCACGAGGCCTACATGACTGAGCGCTTCAGACGCGATGGCGCTAGCGGACCCAAAGCAATCGCCGACCTTGGCAGCATACTTGCCAAAAAAGTGACCGCCAACCACGGCCATGAGCAAGAATGCAGGGATTAAAGAGACGAGCATGCCAGCGATCTCGGCATTCTTGATGAAGCCAACGATGTAGGCCGTGACACAAAAGGAGAGGCAAGTCAGTGCCACGCCAACCTTTTCGCCAGTACCACTCTCGATTGACTGGATGTCGCCGTTGAGTCGAGAAGACACTTCTCCGGCCTGTAGGTTGTCAAAGAAGGCCATGTCCTGTCGCAGCAGGTTTCGGAGGTAACGGTCTCGGATGCGCTGAGCTAGGCGCTGTGATGCCAAGTTCCAGCATACAAGGTGCGTGTAGATGCAAGTGAAAGTGCCACAAGCAATGTAGACGAGCAGCAGGATCTTGGGCGTAATGTTGGCTTCTTCAGATCCGTTAGAGCTACCTTCGCGGTTGTTGCATGTCGCAACATTGATCTCATCGACCAATTGGCCGAAGACGATTCCGATGAGTGGGAATGGTACGCCTGCTGCAATGGCAGCTATTGCGCCCACGAAGACCAGTATCTTGTCGAGCCATGTCGGGTCTGCGTAGAAGAGGAGGTGTAGGAAACCAAAGAAACGCCTGATAGAGGCCCCAGAGGGCTTACTGAACGGCATTGAGCCTGCGAGACGTGGTTAGGAGCTCAAGAAGGAGTATCTCGCGCCGTATGCAGTGGTGAAGCTGCGCGAAGACGCCTGCATGAGGTTCACCCCCCGGGCGCTATGGCCGCGCCAGGAGGCGATGGCCAAGATCGACATGGTGCAGCAGCAGGGTCAACTGCTAGCACAGCGTGAAGGGGCATAGCGTCACGTGAAGAAGGATGCGTGGTGGAAAGTAGTGTGGGCCGGTGTGGTTCGTGTGTGGAGGCTTCAGGACGTGTCACCGAGTCACTTGCATTGGGTCTGTGCTCAAGTTGCATCAGATTAGATAAAATTCTGCACCATCTAGCGCCTAAACCTTGGAACCCAGAACCCACAGCTGCGCACCATCATCCCGCTCTATATCCTAGCCTGGACCTGTAGTCCGGCGCCATCCCGTACTTCAGATGACCCTGTCGCTGCCTTGCGCACGATCTCGCCAGCCATCAAGGCAATGTCCTTGGCCAATGCACGTCCGCCCTCTGACTTCGAGGACACCAGCCACAGCCGGCAGCCCTCCGCGACAGCGCCACGCTTGAACTGCACTTCCTCCAGGCTCTCTCCCTTTGGCCGACAGCCCAGGATGAGCGAATCAATGCCCTGGAACAATGCTGTGTTCGAAAGCGGACTGGCTGCCGTATCCCTGATGATGAAGTCGGAATGTGAGCACGCGGCAGCAGCGTCCTTCCCAATGATGACGCGCAGTCTGAACTCGCCCTTGGACTGGACTAGCTTCTCGTACGCGCGCATGTAAATCGTCTGGATGAGCTCTGATGCTTCCGTGACGGAGGCTGGCTGCGCGCTAGTCGGTTTGGCCCAGATCGAGCAAAGCTGGGGTTGCGACGGCTTCGTGTCGTCGAGAACCGTCAGAGGGGCCAGCGATTCGTCCTCTGTCACGACGGTAATGTTTCCCAGACGCGAGCACGTCAGGAGATCGTCCAGCACCTCGGCAGTCTTTTCGCCTGAGCCAACAAGAGACACGTTGAGTCGTGGCTCATTGGCGCCGCGCAGTTCGTTACGCCTGCTGGGGTACTCGTCCATGGAGATGATCCGCTGCCCGGATAGGAAGTCAACAGTCGGTAATGGCTGCGCAGCCGGACTGCTCGCTCTTGATGGGGAGGGTGCGACAAGACTCCTCGCCCGCACCACGTATGTCTTGCCTGCGCTGTCCTTGACGGCCATCTTCCAGCTTTGCACAGCATCTGCCTCAACCTCGGGCGCTACACCAACGACTTCGCTGCCATAACGGACTTCGTCTTTGAAGTGCTCGGCGGACCACCTCATGTAGTCTTCGAATTCTTCTCGTAAAGGGTTGAGACGATCCGAGTTTGAGAACTCGATGAGACGTTTACGAGCGAGCAGATAGTTGACATAGCTGAAAGCAGTCCTTGGGTTGCGCAGGGTCGCCAGGTCGTACATGAAGGGGCTCTCCATTCGCGTTCTCGAGATGTTGGATGTCGATCCCCATGAGAAGGATTTCTTCTGCTCGACGAAAAGCATTTTGGACGGCGTCTTGGATTCTCGATTCGCGATGGCTGTGGCGAGTTGAGCTGCGCCAAAGCCGACACAGACAACGTCGTAGTATGGCGATGAATCCGCCATGGGTGCGGCAGTCGCTGCGTCGCTTGCTCTTCTCTCGGTCGAAGTCATTTTGGAAGATTGTTGGGTCAATTTGAAGCAAGTATCGATTGTCGCTTTCTTGATTTGTACAGTAAGAAGGTGTTTCAGCGCTAAGAGATATAGTACTACAGCGACATAACACGATTGCACAGCTCAGGCACAATTTGCAGACCCTGCGCACTGGCCATCATCAGGTATATCGATGCCCACGCTCGAAACAACGATGTCACCAATGGTTAGCGTCGCCGGTACCAAATGCGCGATGCATTTTCGTCCACTGACGCCGACCTGCATGGATTTGTGGAAGCTAGACAGCGGCCCACATGGGGTGGATCAGCCACCAAATCGGAGCTTTCCTCACGCCACCTCTTGACTACGACCCTGTGACCTGTTTTCCTTGCCGGAGAATGGGTAACAAATCCACCTAAGCCTGCGTAATGCAGTGGCCTAAGCTATACCGGATATTGGGAACGACCTCGGTTAAACATTCACGCATCGTATTCCTGAGCATCTTGAGAGACTTCAAGCATCCGGGTTATAGCTTCTCGTTCATTGCTGTCGCATGCTCGACTGTATCTTCAGTTACTTCTTCTTCATTCTCAGTTCTTGTTCATCACCATGGCGCAGCAAGCTAAGCCGGATACCGCGCAGGAACCGCTCGTTCTCAAGCTCCCTCACCCATACCTTACGGCATATGCTGTCGCGAACGTGGCACCTAAAGGCCAGTCTGCCAGCTATCAAGTTCAGCTCTCGTCACAGAGCGATGCCGGCAAAGGGATCGCTCCACCCGCAACTCTACATAACGAGACTGTGACGTTCAGCGACGTTGCGACTTTGAGCCAAGATGCTGTACCGCCGATGGGAGATAACAGTTCTTGGGCGCGCACTCGAAGATCTCCATATGTGACAGTTACGTGGACCCAAGATCGTCCATCTGTCCCGCAGCTCTGGCTCATCGCCTACGCGTTGGTCTCGCTGCATCCCCTAGTTGAGAACTTCCGCGTGCTATTGTCAGGGAAGGACTCTCAAGCACTAGCCCAAGAGCTATACGCCACTGGTCTCTTTCATTCGCATCCAAAGGCTTCCAACGCATCGGCGCCTCATGATGGCCATCTCCTCTTCCGAGGAACATTCTGGCAGGGCGCGGCATCTCCATTCGGTGTTCGTCCAGTCTGGGCACCACACCTCGACGCCGCAGGAAAGCCGATCGATAGGCGGTATCCTCCTTTTCCATTTCAAAATGCGCCATCAACACAGTTCCCCGCTCTCCCCCGGCACACGCAGCATCCAGTCCGTGAGCCAAAACCCGAGCCGGGCTCGATCATCTATAGCCGATGGGTTCCACATCTGAAGGAGCACTTCACGATGGTGGCTCTCGACTACACCAATGATGAGCATCTCCGCCTATTCAACAAGTGGCAAAACGACCCACGTGTCGCTGCGGGATGGAACGAAACCGGTACCCTGGATCAACACCGCGAATATCTCCGAAAGCTGCATGAGGACCCCCACGTACTCACCATGTTTGCGGCTTTCGACGACATACTATTTGCGTACTTTGAAGTTTATTGGGCGATGGTAAGTTAAGATCATCTTCGATTTCGTACAACCTATGGACTAACACATGTCACAGGAGGATCACATGGGTGCTCACTATCAGTCTTCGCCTTACGACCGTGGCAGGCACTCGCTCGTCGGCGACGTGCGGTTCCGAGGACCATATCGCGTGTCTGCGTGGTGGTCGGGCCTAATGCACTACATGTTCCTCGATGAGCCGCGCACCTGGAACCTGGTCGGTGAGCCCGCAGCAACGAGTAGCACGGTGCTAGCATATGACTTCGCCCACGGCTTCCACGTTGAGAAGCTTATGGACCTTCCTCACAAGCGCAGTGCGCTGATGATGGTCAACCGAGAGAAGTTCTTCACGCTGAGTCCATTTACTTGGGACGGCGAGAAAAAGGTCCGCCCAAGCCTGGATGCAGGCGCGAAAGCGAAATTGTAAATTTGGCATTATGCGCTCCTTTTTCGATACCATGTAGCTATACCAACTTCCATTAATGTAAATATCACATGTTGTCCATCTTCCAACTCAAAGCGTGAGCCATTTCCCTTTCCGATCACTTCGGAACTAGCTTCCGTTCCCAAGTACCGCAACCCGGGTTTCGCCTGGAGACGGCCGCAAACATTGTGATGTGCATTAGACAGCTTCCGCATCGCTTTTCACAAGCCAAACTTACACCCGTTGTACGACATTACATTCATCCGGCCGTTCGTATATCCCACACTAACCGACGACACGCACGTCACATATGACATGACCTCACATCCTAGCCACCCAATGAGTGCGGTTTGCACCCCGGCCTCACTCGCTGCAGCACGCGGATCTGATAATTAGCCGCAATTTTTTTATCTGATCCGTCGGTGCATGGCGCTCAAGCCAGTGCGCAACCAGAGTGGACGGCGCGGCATGTCTTCGACCGCATTTTCACGCACGCTCGCATGACGGTCACTTTGTGGAGATGTTGGTGTGGATGCAACACGTAATAACGGCACTGCAGCGACATGCACAGGCCCTGGTCGCATACGTTTCTCGAACTGGTAGATCGCTACGCTGCGCGATGGTGGATGTGGATGTGGATGAAAAATTATCAGATGCACCGGCATGACACCTGGGCGCCTGATGGGGCAGGCCAGTAAATTATCTGATCCGCTCAAGTGCTGGAGGTTATTGCCCAGCCGGATACAAGGCGCTAGAGCATCCTTCCCACTCTCTCCACATTGATGCAGCGCTTCGCCTCATGCAGGACGGACGCCTTACTCGTACTTTCCATCTGATAAAAATTTCTTTTTGATCTGATAAAAATTTGCTCTGCATCAATGCGCCTCTTACTCATACGAGGAGGCCCACCGATGTCGCAGCTGCTATACTCCTAGGTGGTCCGTTTAATCTTATCAGATCAAGATCGAGCGCCCGACCCCTGTCAGTCTACTACCCCGACAATGGTGGCTTCGCCGCTTGCTGTCATCGGTCCCAACATGCACTGGGAAACGAACTACACTCACGGGGGCGATGCGACTTGCTGTGTCGATCTTTGCCTGCTTGTGAGTAAGGAAAATTCTGCCCATCACTTGATGGTGGCCCTGTTAGACTTGCCTGCGGCGGTGCGTCCGGAAGGAGCAGGGCTGAGCGAGAGGCCGGCGATGGCGTGGGTAGGCGATCGGAACGTGAGTGATGGCCCACAGACGCGTCGTTTCGAGGGCTCCGGAGACGGACTGTTTGGAGGGCGAGATGGGGTGGCCTGTTTGTGAGATTAGATCCGAGACATCGGCGAAGCACCGTCATTGAGCTGTTTGTTATC